GACTACCAATAAGTATTTGGACACCTATGCAAATGACGATATCTACGGTCCTAAGGTACATCACGGACTCCGCCGGTATATATCGTGTAGGAAACAGCATCGGCTTTAGTCGCATGCAAGATGCCTCACAGTTCGGAGCTCTCTGATTTCGAGAAAAGTTTAATTATCGGGTATCACAAATGGTGCCGATCCTTAAGGGACATATCTAATGATTTGAAGTACTTAATATCGATAGTGGCCTATGTGATTAAGAAGTAGAAGGTGAGCGGTGATTGCCAGAATGTGCCCCGAGTCGGCAGACCAACGAAACTGGGAGATAGAGACCGACGAGTGCTGTCCAGAGAAATTCGGAAGAACCGCACCCAACCGATGGCGCTCATCCGCAAGGAGTTTCAACAGGCATACGGGAGTATTGTTTCAATGAATACCACCCGTAAGGAAGAACATCTGCTTGGTTTTCATGGTCCTGCTGCTGCCCATAAGCCTTTGTTTACAAAGTCCAACCGCGCTGCTCGGTTAATGTGGTGCAAAGCACATCGAAATTTGACCGTAGATCAGTGAAAACGGGTTCTTTGGAGTTACGAATCAAGGTTCACCATTTACCCGTTCGGATGCCAGGGTCTGGGTCTGGCATCTACCTGGAGAACGTCTCCTGCCAGAATGCATTGTGCCAACGGTCTGGGGCTGTTTCTCTTGGTATGGGCTGGGACCCTTGGTCCCCATTCATGGTAAGCTCAACTCCAATGCCTACTGCACTATTTTGGATGACAATGTGCTTCCTACGTTGTGGCAGTTTTACGGTTTGGATCCCTGTTACTTTCAGGATGACAATGCCAGTTGTCATGTTTCGGCGTTAATCAAGGCTTGGTATGGTGCCAATGGAATTTATCGAATGGACTGGCTTGCCCAGAGTCCAAACCTGAACCCTACCGAGAACCTCTGGGACGAGTTGCATCGCCGAATTCAGGGGTGCACTACCCGTGCAAAATCGGTTAGTTAAGGTTTTTCCTGTTGCCGCGGAGCTCGAAGTTTATCTGCCTTCTCTTGGACGCACTCTTCCTGCCACAACTACTTTTACCTTTTTATATCCATTATTAGTTTATTGTAGGTATTGTTCTGGGAGCGGCGTGAACCGTGCGCGGGAGATCGTCGTGAACAGTGGCGGAAGGCAGGAGACCCAGCGTTCGATCGAAGGGTAGGTGTCGTAGGATGGAAACCTAGTCTCGTCTCCCACAGTTCAGCATCGGCCTCCTCGTGGCGCCCGCTGGAATCTATGCTGTCATTAGGCTAGATATAGCCTGGCTGTCTTCGGACGGCATTAGGCTAGATATAGGCTGGACGGCATAGGCTAACGGATGCTGAACAACTAACTCTGTGGTTCGACTGGGCGGAATTTCCGGAACCGACCCTTTTGGGAGGAGACCTTGGGTTCTTCCAGACCACTGGCTAGACTTGTGTCTAGATAGTTTCGGCCTGCAGAGCAAATAATCAGTCTTCACATTGACTAGAACCATCGTTTATTCGGTGGTAGGTTCAGGCTTGGCAGGGACCGTACTGGTACTGTCTTGTCCGTATCCTTGGTTGTGGGGACGTTACATGGTTGATGTGATGACCGTCTGAGGGGAATTGATTCCTCTCGGTCGGTGTGGAGGGACGTATGAACTCGAAACATTTCAAAGGGCTGAGAATAGGAGTACCGCGGGGAGTGGTGACCCCTCTCGTGGGAATTGTAACTTGTTAATGAGTAGTCTGGCTGGAGATCGGCCCTGTGGATCTCTTCATGATGGTCGCCCGTCGGTCTCTGCCTAGATGAATCCAAATTGTGAGGGAAGTTTTCAAGTCAGTGACCGGAAGGGGTGGCGCCCTCTCAAGGCATGGATTATAAACCTTGAAAGGAAGGACACAGATCCTTCAGGGCCTTGGCCATGTTTTTCTCCGGCTTACTGTAAGTATTGTTATTTAAGAAAAGAAAACCTTACTTGCTTCACCAGATAGGTCATGAGGCTTGCAGAAGTAAGGAAATACCTCAGCAATACATAAGAGCTATAATACAGATAAATAAGACAACACAATAATATATGACACCTAGATCTGGAGAGAATAACGAATATATTGTTCCAATTTTGTATTTCGTTAGCAATTTTTAGTAGAATTGTAATTAAAATTGTTTTATTTTCCCGTGTAATGCAGCGCGTGACGAGTTTTAAGATCTACTTTAAGTGTATTACAAGAACTTAAATTTAATTAAAAACCAATTAAATTACATGTTACTCATTGCCCAATATAACATAAATTTTGATTAAAAGAAATAAAGAGACAAACGTTCGTTTATATTGATATAAATGTAGAGAAATAGAGAAATCAAGTTTTACACAAAGCGAATTATACTAATAAAATATCATCCAAAATTTCGTATTACAGACCTTTCTATTTATTGGAACAATAAATTAGATTTTGTTTCCAAACGATCAACGAAAGTGACACTTTACTTAAGGCATGTTGCTCTCCGAAACAAAACCCCGGTGGTCATGTCCTGGCCACATCGGACTTTTTTTTTTTTTTTTTAATAAGCCCAAAGGGGCAAGCCCAGAATTAATTTCGTTTTGGCATTTTACGTTGGTTCACTGTAAACAAAGTTTCACTTGTCAAATTGCTGCCACCAAATATTACAGCCCTGCATTATATTTAAAGAAATTAAATAATGAAAAGTCTGCATGAATGCCTGTATGTTTCTCGCACTGTGAAAAAACGATGGTACCTAGAGACATCAAATTTTGAATAACGTAGTCCTTCATTCGAATATGGGCATCTGAAAGCCCAAATTATAATTTAAAATTTGTTTTATATTATAATTTGGGCTTTCAGATGCCCTATTTCATAATTTGTAAAACTTCAACGAATTTTTGATTAACAGACTCAACGCTTTCAAAGCTAGCAATGGCAACACTGTACGAAAAAAAAAATTTTATCTCCTCCGCACGAGACTGTGTATCGGAAATTCTAAAGATATGCTCTTTTAAAATTATTTTGTGATATTGCTGTTGAATTGAAGTTTATGGTTTAAGTGCGAAGAACATGATATTTAATAAATAAAGGTAACGCACAATATGTTAAATAAACACCCCTTTAGGCGTAATATAAAATCTGAAAACTTTCAGATTTTTTTTATTAACGTTAGGGTTTGCTTTTATTATAACTTAAATTTGTGTACTCCCATACTATAAAGTTTAAACTATTGCTGTATCTTCGTACTGCAGATTGTGTTATTAGTGCATTTAATATATTATTAATCGCACTGATTAGTTACTTATTAATTATTACTAATTGCATCGTATTATATTAATATATTCCTTAAAAGTCCGTTCAATCAGTATGTTCTTTAAAGTAAATTAATTAATGTTTCTAGTGCAAAACTGAGTGCATTATTATTTTCATGTTTTACAAATTGAAATGATATATTTTTGTATGGTGTATTCAGGCATAAAACGTGTATTTAGCATTAACAATCTTTCGCTGAAGCATACTGAAACTGGCAAAATATTTAAATCGTAGTATGAAACATGTGGCTAAAATTCCATAAGCGGGGTAAGTTAGCGCCAAACTATTTTGGCCTTAAAAATTTGGCGAATTTTTTAGGCGGCAATGAAAGCACTAAAATGTGATTTGTAAACGTCAAGTTTTTTGTTTTGCAGTAGTGAAACGCCGTTATTTTATGTAAACAGAATAGTAAAATGAGATGATAAAATACTAGATGAGTAAAAGAAAGTCCAACAGCCTTGCAAGTAAAAGCATAGTCCTATATATATGTAATTCATCATAAAATAGTAGAATGAACAATTCTTGTAAATAATTATTGAGTAATAAATGTATACACTTATCATATCAGAGCACTGCGAAGTCAATTTTAAACGTAAACAGAATAGCAAATTATGCGTATTCAGCATCATAAACTAACTAAAATATTCAAGTTACTATCGTCGTGGAATTCAAACACACTAAACAACTTTCGTTCAAAGCTTTGTATATTCCACATCTTTGCATTTGTCTCATGCAAGAAACAAAACTAAAAAAAAAATTAACTAAATAAAATTAAATGAAAATATTCATAAATTCAACATTCTCCCACCAACAACAGCTTAACCTCCTGCAAATATTTATATAAGTATAATATTAAACATACATGTAACAATAATATATTAAACAGTAGAACTTTTAAAAACAAACACAGTATTTCAAAATTAAATTTAAAAAAAAATCTGGCTATACTAAATTCGCGCTCTTACAGTTACCGAAATAAAGCTCTAGGTTTTCCACAAGAAAATATACAGCAGGAAACCACAACCAAATTAAAATCGCGCCAAATAAAAAACTCTCTCCAAGCTTGGCGCTCACCCCGATTATGGAATTTTAACCAAGCATGTGAAGTATTCGGGAATAATAATTAGAAAAATGTAAATTTGTAAATAAGTAATTTGAAACTAAGTATTTTTAAAATAGTTAATCTAATGATTTTTGTTTTAATATTCTTCACTCTTTTTTTTTTTTTTCTTTTTCTCACAACAGCGTAATTATACACTGTATTCCAGAGAATTAATCAAGATCAATTTAAGATTTGCAGTGATATTTGTGTAACTGTGGGCTCATATACTCTTTACAAATATGTAATTTCTATAACCATGCATGACTATCTATATCTGTGTAATCATGAATCACTGCGACATATTGAAGAACAGTTGTGTTTGCCTGCCTAAAAATACTTATAATACAGATAAAAAAAATCCCGCCTGAAGTACCGAATAACACCTAAATGGGTTTTGGTAAATCAGTAGATGTTTCCTACGGAGAGGGTTAAATGTCCTGTTTGAGTCCCTCCCGCGGTCAGAAGTTATCTTCATGGCGCAGTACTGACCATTATTTTTGATTAATAGGAATGGAAGCTGAAAGAAAATGATATTTTAAGTCATATTTCAACAGAAGAGTAAGTGTGTTATTTTACATACCTTACAAAATGTCTCTTGAGGGTCTTACACGCATATAGTTGTCCATCTGACATATTCTGGCAGGCCATGACTTCGGCGAAACTACCTTCGCCTTTCTTACCCAATATACGGTATCCTGAAATAATGAAAGTACTTTTAAAATAGAATAGAAGAGAAACACGCTAATGTGACAATCAAAATCTCAATAACAACCTTGTATTTAGCGTACATATATTAAAACACTCAATCGATTTCGAGGGCAGCTAAAGGTCCCTCTTCATCAGGAGAATGAAATTACTAGAAAAGGGGAAAAAAGGAAAAAAATAAAGCATTGGCAAAGGAGTCTCAGAAACACGTGGTCGTTATCAGCAACGTAGCTTTTAAAATAATTTGTAGAATATCGGTTATAAATGAAATAATATAGAACGTCATTTTAACAATAAACAATCTTACTTTCCAGAATTTGGTGGGACAGAAAATGAAATCTGAGACAAGATTTAATTTTGGGGATTTTATAGAATAATGTGTCAAACTAAATGTACGGGAAAAAATCAGTTTGAGAATTTGGTGGAATCAGGAATCAAACCTAAGACACGATCCAGTCTGAGAATTTAGTAAGATCATGAATTACACATGGGATATGATGGCACTATGAATCAAACTTTGGACAAAAAACTCTTTGGAAATTTGCTGGGATTAAAAGTCAAACTTGGGATCTCTGGTTCTGCAGATGAAAAAATGTAACACTGCACGACTGAAGCAAAGAATTTAACTTTTCAAATTTCTGCTGTAAGTTAGTAAACGAATTACTTTCAACTAGACAAAAAGAGATTTTGAGCTATCAGGAATCCAATACCTTGACTGTTGAGCAGAGAAGTTGGCTACTTATATACTCTTCATGTATTCTGTTAGTTACCATCTATACCTCTAGGGCTTTACTTTCAGTTAGACAAAAAGACTGTTATCTGCTAGACATAATTATCCACTTCTACCAAGAATCTAACATACAGCCTCTTAATCTGCAGACGATAAAGCTAAGTACAAAACCACAGAAGTTAGTGATCAGACATTCGGATTTTTCTTTTTAAAGATCCAGAAGCTTTATATGGGCAGAAGAGTTACTATTTGAATTGTAGAACTAGATAATACACGAATAATTCTCTAAATAATACACGAATGTTTTTGCCGGGTTATTTTAATTTGCTCATTTAAAGAAATGTGATTTTGGGAAGTCAAAACGTTAAGTTCTTTTTAACATAAATAAGTAATTGTATAAAGTATTTCTCCCGCTATCTTAGCGAGCGTTCGTGGTGTGGTGGTCTGCACGCTGGGCGCGTATTCCAGAGGTTCGTGGTTCGATTCCCTGCGAAGGCGTTGCTAATTTTTCATCATTCCTGCTTAAAAAATATTCCTAATGACTCTACAAGTGGCGCTCGAACTAAAAGGGTGGTGGATGATAATTCTCCGCACCCAGGATTTGCCGACTGTGTCCTCTAGAAACCCAATCGCCCTTTAAAAGGGGAATATATAATGTATTTCTCCCAACTTCTTGGCGTGCCTTCGTGGTGTAGTGGTCTGCATGCTGGGCACGTATTCCAGAAGTCTGCGGTTCGATTCCCGGATAAGGCTTTGCTAATTTTTCATCTCTCCTGCTTCGAAATAAACCTAATGATTCTAAAAATGGCGCCTGAACTAAAAGGGTGGTGGATGATGATTCTCCCTGCCCAAAATTTGGCGATTGGGTCCCCTAAAAACCCGCAAGTCATTCGGCTTATCAAAATTTTACCCTATTAGACAATCCCCTTTTTCGGATGATTTAATTTCCTTTGAAGATGTGGAGGTAAAGGCGTAATTGCCTATGAACTCCGTAAATTGCCCTTCCTTGATCCTTGATCCTTGACCTTTAATAGGAGGAGATATTTCTCCCGCCTTCTTGGCATGCCTTCGTGGTGTGGTGGTCTGCACGCTGGGCGCGTATTCCAGAGGTCCGCGGTTCGATTACCGGCAAAGGGCCTATTTTTCATCTCTCCTACTTCCGAAATAAACCTAAAGACTTTACAACAGTAAGTGAGTAACTTAGTAAAATTTAATTAATCAAACTAAAAATTGTTAAAGTTCTTAAATAAATTTTGAAACGAAGAATACCTACACCTTTGTGATTCTAAATTTTGTTTAAACTGGAAGTTAAACATGGCATTACATCTTAAAATGTTTTTAAACAGATGTAAAAAATTACAATACATCTCTCGTGTTTCGGGAGTTAAAAGATATTAGTAGTATACAAAGGGAAAAAAATCATAATCTGAATACTAGTTTTCGTACCATTCAGTTTTTCAATAAAAATGTAATTCCTTTGGTGATTGTTTCTAAGAGGAATAAAATAGCTATTGCTGTAATGAAGCATGTGCAGGATAATTTCTTTTAACAAATAACAGAGAAAGAACACGTTTCAAACAATAGTACTAATTTAAATATAGATCATTTTCATGTATATTTTTAACCTGATTGAAAATGAATTTGTTATAGCAGACAAATCTTGTTTTGAAACCATGTGCACGCATGAATTCTTTTCTTTATTTTCAGAGGATCCAATCAAAACAGTTCTTTGTCAACACTGAAAGTCGAAAGGCTTGTAACAATAATCTTATCCATGCCTAAGTGTAATAAAGAGTAGTCCGAATTCTTTTTTGGCAGAAAGAATATTCTTCGGGAAAGAGCATGTAAATAAATGCTTACTTCTTTTCCCTTTATGGTGCAGAGAATAGTAAAGTGACTTCCACACTACAAGGAAAACGACTTGATACACTTTTTGCCCCTATGTAGCCATTTTGTCACAGAGTTATTGTTTTACTGGAGAGCCAAATTAATATAAATAAGCATGCTTTCTCGATCTATACGCACATTGTATAAAACAGCAATATCCGTTGATGCCGATTTGAAAACAACAAAACAAAATGATTTCCGTCGCTATTGCCAGTTTGAAAGCAGAAAATAAACATTCGTGTTTCAATCTAATACAGGTAAAGATTTCCGTCAACGCTGCCAATCAGAAAACAAAAACATTTATATTTTTCTTTTGCGCACATAATTCTAACTCTTATAATTTTATCAATAAATAATACAAATATAATTGAGTTTTCATATCAGAAGCATGTTAAATCCGGCGATCCATTTTCCAATGAATTCGCTTGGGTAATCATTCTTTCGATTCACTTCTGTGGAGATAATTTTCATCTTGTTTCAGAATTCGGGTCACTGTCTCGGGATGTTAAGTGATGTTTGACCCGCTTCACCTTTTCGAGCACCTGGGTGAGCGACCGCCACACCTCAAATATCGTTTGTCCCAGTTTTGAAACGAATGGAACTTCGAAATCGATATCTTGTTGCCAAGCAATGGAATCCGTTCCTTCTTTATTTTCCATATTTGCACGTTGTCCATTGACGCCTGCCTCATAAACTGTTTTGTTTCTTTAAAAGAATGTTAACTCAAATTATATTTCTTATTAATGCTTTCGTTTTGATACAGGATGAAAGCTTAAAAAAGATTATTATACTATCCAAAAGTAAAAAAATCTGATGTGTACACCACATGACTTCCTTGTACGGAATAGTAAATTATACGCATTTTTTCTTGCATTTTATTTAAACTTATTAGATTGAATTAAACCTACTTCGCCGACAGCGCATAAACCACAATAGAATAAATGCATTCTTTAAAATTCTCTTTGTTTACCATAGCGACACTCTGGCGCTAGGTTCAATTAACAGTATTATATTTCGTTCATATTATAACTCAGAATGCACAAACTTATATCATTTAAAGAATTATCTAATCGTTGCCACATGTTCTATTCAAATACTATAATAAAGCTAGAACAATGTATAAAAGAAATTAAGCAAACAAAATAAAAAGAAACAGTTTTTCACAGACATTTGAGTATTTCTCATTCAATTAATTCAGTTTTAACTTAGTGGCAAGGCAAAAATACATGAAACTCAAAATATCTGTATTAAAAATTACGAAGTAAATCTTAAACGCTTATTTCCTCGAAAAAATTCCAGAAAGGATTAAGCATGATTTAAATAATAAATGAAGGCGTTATCTTTGTTGTTGCGAAGATAAGTTTCTCTAGATTGGCAACAAATCCGATATCCTGCTGTTTCAAATGTAAACAAAAGCAATGGCCGCCATCAAAAATATTATTAGGCTTAGCGGCGCTTCAACAATTTTAAAATTGTTGATAATTCTAAAATTATTGCATACAGATTTACTAAAGGCATAAAAACCTTAACCGGAAGATAAGAACAACATAATTCAATCATTTTTAAAGCAAAAAATGTACAATTTACATAACATTATAAGAATAAAGAAACTGAGACTCACTGAGCTGGGTTAACAGAGTGGGGATATATATAAATATATTTATATACGTTTGGGTGCTGCCGTGATTGCAACCAAAATACGTGAGGTGCACCATCTACATGTTATAGCCAGTCCTATATACAAAATTTCAACGTACTGAGGCTACTCGTTTTTGAGTTATACGAGATACATACATACGTATCTATTGTACACATATTCGTGACGTACAGATACTGCCACGAAAAAATTCTCTTCAGAATCCATTTTAAAGCAAGTTTTATAATTTTTTTGGAGGAAAAGAGTATTTTATTCTGTCCTTACATACAGATATCACGGAAATACATCGTTAAATTGCATTTGAAAGAGGCCAAAATGGGATATATCCAATTCACCTATGGAAATAGGTGAATAGGTGCATTCCATAGGTGAATTGGATTTTCGTGAGGCTTTTCACATTCACAAAGATTTAGCAGGTTTAGTTAATGATTTGAAGTCCAATCCAGTCCTTTATAATGCCTTTAAAATTCTACTATCTTAATTCAGTTATTTTTGCCGATAGATGACGTTACCTCCTCTCGCGTTTGGTACTACCAGAGGGTATAAAAATCCGTTCAGTGGTTGCTTTCCATTATTTGAAGTTCAGATTTTGAGCGTAAGGGCATTTGCCCCTCGCTCCCTATTTAACTTCGCTAATTTTTCTTGTCCTTTATGCTTGATCAGATAGCCTGGCTCAGTAAAAGTAGGCGGCCAGTGCAACTCTGATTAAAAATCTA